CAGCAACCAAAACCGGCGCACGAAAGTGCATGGTTAATGGTTGTTCAAACTGAAACTGGTTTACAGCAGACGGGGGGAACCCCTTAGTCACGAGATCTGCTTCTCGGTCATGGAAACCGGTGCCCCAAGTCCCACAAGAGTTGGAGTGACGAACCACTTAAGGCCCCGTTAGGTTGGGGTATTGAACCGAACGACAGCTAGGCTGCCCACCACCAAAGGTGGATGGTGGTGGCGGGGCTCGAACCACGGACCATAGGGTCCAAAGCACGCCAATGACAGCGGGTGGTAGATGGTTCTTCTGTCGTCCGGGTCAGTACCACCGCCACTCCAAGTTCCAGGGCTAGGTTTCCTGGTTACTCTCTCATCAAGATGCCAGCGAAGCTTCCCTTATGTCCATTTCTCTTAAACACACATCCTTCTCCCCTTCCTTGAATTTCAACTGGGACACTCCGTTCCGCAGAATCGTGCTACCTATTGGGTCTTTCCTTATCTTCTCTTTCATGGTCACCTTATATTTATCTGCTTGTTTCCCGCTCTGTGCGCAAAATTGGTTTTCTCTTTCGCGCCAGACGTTTCTTCACCGCCGTTCACCTCCTCTCGCTTCACAAAGCTCAGATTCGCACTACACTTGAATACTGCGGTCATGTGTAGGGTGGAGCTTCATCTACCTCACTATCTCTTCTTGATCGGGTTCAACGTAAGGCCATCCATCATCAACGACCCATCCCTAACATCCAACTTACAGTCACTAGCTCACCATCGGGCAGTTGCTTCTTTACCCATGTTCTATCGATACTACTTTCGATTTTGCTCTGATGAACTTTCCGCATCTGTCCCTCTCCCACTTGTTCTTCCTCGTAGATCCCGCGCACAAGCGGCTAGCCACCCATTTCAAATGACTATCCTTAGATGTCGCATTTCTAACTTTCAATCTTCTTTTCAAGAACAGCACAACTGTGGAACACTTCCCCTTTCGGTCTTCACTTCAACGTACAAAATCCATTTTTTTAAACGCAGAATCAACAAGCTGGTTATAGCTTGAATGTTCCCCATATCTCCCCACTTACAGTATATCTTCGGAGCATGGGGTTCACCCCTTTTGCTGTATTCACTTTCGTGTAATAAAAAAGAATAAACCACTGCTTCACCACCACCATTAGTGGGGTACTATCTTTTTTGTTTTTTAGTAACTGGATTTTCAAGGGTTGAATGATGTACGAATCGTCGTTTGTAAATATGAAAAGCTAGTATTAGTTTATTTAGGATAAAGTTTTGTTTCTGAACGTTTTCGTCTTTTGCTCTGAAAAGCTCCAAATTTGTAGACAGCGGCTATCCTACATTCGCGCGTCTCCACGCGTGCAGTTACCACCAGCTGCTCGTCACCACAGATCTGTGTATGAGAAACTATAAACCAGTATGTGATGACACTAAAAACTGGAAGATCATTTAATGGGACTTGGAGACAGCTGCGGCAAATGTTCCCATTGAGGGACAGTGAATATACGCGTGATCACTGTTTTACGCTTTGGAAACTGAAATCAAACGAACTTCCGTCGGCGTATCGTTTATCCAGTATAATGATCAATATTTGGAAAGATCTCCCGGCGAATGTAGTAGAAGAGGTGAATCTCGGTACCTTCAAAGGTGTCCGAACGATTTCCTGTTAAAAAGGCAGCAAGCTGACGTGTGGCATACCTCGGATATGGTAGAGATGAATTATACAGTGATTCCTTACTGTCTTCTATTCCAGAAGGTGATTGTCTTTGGCAAATTAACGAGACCCCATTCTCATCATAAAGAGTTTTCTCAAATCGGCTATTTGAAATCTTACTCAACGATTTTGTCTTTCCATGTTTTTACACTTAATGTAGAGGGTGAAAAACAATACATAGCACTATTTGCCACAATTTCTATGCTCCTATATATATATCTGTGTGTGTGTGTGTGTGTGTGTGTGTGTGTGTGTGTGTGCATTTTACACCGGCTTGACAGAAAGCATGGCGCCAATGAAAAACAATGATGATGAAGCTGTGACGAGATACAGAAAGATTAAATGAAAATGAGGA